CCAGCGCTTAGGTCTCCTTCCACACCAGTCAAGTCGATGACATCACGTGAGCCAATCCTGCCCCTGTTAGGTTAGGTTAAGTGAGAATAATAATCGTTGTTTTTAATCACCAACTCCACCATCGCTAGCAACGTTAATCACCAAGAAATAAATATAATTATCATAATATGCTCTTATATTCTTAATACCTGTAGTTAGCTCCCGTGGTGCCACAATTATGGACACTACTCACAGGTGATGGCTGGCTGTGAAAATACCTCACTGTTACTTGTACAGTGACTTACTTTCTGTGTTAAATACACTTGGAAAACAATGAGATTAAAACTCAGGGCTGCTGCTTGTTTGACTGTCTCTCCGGCACTTGTATGAGGTTTATGGCTCTGTCCAATGTGGTCTGTCGGACACACACACACACACACACACACACACACATATATATATATATATATATATATATATATATATATATATATATATATATATATATATATACTCTCTCCTATATATATATATGTACCCACCCCTGAAGATGTAAGATACACAAGCGCTTGGGAACTTCGTGTTTCTTCTTCTTTCCTTGTGGTTATCAGCATGTGTGTATATATATATATATATATATATATATATATATATATATATATATGTATATATATATATATATATATATATATATATATATATATATATATATATATGCAAATAAATCACTGTAGGTGCGCGTGATCCAGGTATATGCTGATAACCACAAGGAAAAAAGAAAACACGAAGTTCTCAAGCGTTTTCGTGTAATTCACATCTCCTGTGTCAGAGGGTAGGTTAGATTTGGTCAAATTAAATGAAGGTTAGGTTTGGTTAGGGATAGGCTTGGCTAGATTAAGCTTGATCAAGTTAGGTTAGGTTAGGTTTGGTTAGCTATTGGGGCAAGATGGAGGTCCCTGGGTCTGGGATTCAGTCATATCCCATAACTCTCTCCCAAGGTGACGAGACGTACCGGTATGGCCAGCATAAGGACAGAACCAGACAATGTGATGTAGTCGTGGCCTGAATTAGTCTAGTATACAGACACATCTGGCAAGTTAGTAACGCTGTACCCATACCGGAACACTCAGCATGTAAACTTTGTGATAAACCTTTAAAGCATACACTTGAACACTATATTATTGAATGTTACACTGTCAAAGATTTCAGGCCACCTGGCTTATTGTATCATGAACTTTGTAATTACTACATTAAATCGGAGGTGCTTGAGGACATTCTTGCTGTTTATCTCACATTGATTAGTCCTCACATAGAATATGACTTATACTGTATGAACCACTGTTCTGTGTGGCAGTGAACAGTGACATCACCCACATGACTCTGACCTATATATACTGTTAATGAATATGATGTATTTCTTTGTGTATGAACCTCTGTCCTGTGTGGTAGTGAGCAGTGATACCACCCTCAGTGTCAAGACCTGACAGAATTACTCACAATAGACAAACTGTAATCCAAGCTTTGTCAATAAATTTGTTAACCGTTAGAAAATATCCCCAAGGTCCTGAGAACAGCGGTGAATAGGCTGTCAGGGTAACATACACAGAAACTCTACCTTCCTCCTCTCCCCCTTCTCTCTCTTCTCCCTCCTCCCTTTACCCCCTTCTCTCTCTTCCCCTTCTTCCCCTTTCTCTCCCCCTTCCTCCCTCTTCTCCCCTCCCTCTCTCTCTCCCCCTGTCTCGTCTCCCTCTCTGTCTTCTTCCCTCCCTCCTCCCACTTCCCAACAGATAAATCTTGGTCGACCATGAAGCTCAATACACCTCTACAGTAAAATATCCTTGTGTTTAGAGTCTTGTCGCCTATTGCATGTAATTACAAGTGCTATTTTATTTACCGGCACCCCAAAAATGTTGTTATACTCGTATGCCGTCTAATTATTAAGTGTATGACTGACTATTGTATAAGTCACAAGTGTGTGGAAATATACAGGTGTACTTAACTGGTGTGTGGAGATATGTAGGTGTACTTAACAGGTGTGTGGAGGTATGCAGGTGTATTTAGCAGGTGTGTGGATGTATGCATATGTACCAAACATGTGTGTGGAAGTATGCAGGTGTACTTAACTGGTGTGTGGAGGTATGCAGGTGTACTTAACAGGTGTGTGGATGTATGGATATGTACCAAACATGTGTGTGGAAGTATACAGATTACAGGTGTACTTAACAGGTGTGTGGAGGTATGCAGGTGTACTTTACAGGTGTGTGGAGGTATGCAGATGTACTTAGCAGGTGTGTGGAGGTATACATATATACCAAACTTGTGTGTGGAAGTATACAGGTGTACTTAATAAGTGTGTGGAGGTATACAGGTGTGTGGAGGTATGCAGGTGTACTAACAGGTGTGTTCTTCCCTCCCCAACAGATGTATGGTCGGTACACGAAGGATCTAAGTAAATACGCGAAACAAGAAGCGAAAAAGTTGAAGAAGGCTGGGGAGAAGTCATTTGACATCAACGCTACAGGTGGGTAGTACACGACAGGGAAGTAGTTCACGATAGATAGTACATGGGGAAGTATTTCACGATAGATAGTACATGGGGAAATATTTCACGATAGGTAGTACGTAATAGAATAGTACATAGTAGACATAGGCAAAGATAAGTGCCATAGAAGCTTTTGCACTGGTTCTGCTGTAGATGACGAGCTTGTTGTTATAATTCCCATAATGGTCAGTACTCGATACTTTTGATCTTCATGTAATAAATTATATTCTTATAAGATTGTACTAGTAATTTAGTTGTATATATTATAAACACATTTGCGTCACGCAGAAGTTTAGCTAAGATGGAATAACTGCTGCTGGAAATCTACTACGATTACCCAATGTGTGAATTACATGGTAAGTAGTTGATGTGAGGTAGCATATACGGAAGTAGTACGTGGTAGGTAGAATATGAGAGAAAGTACATAGTAGATAATGTAGAGGATTATTAAAAGGTAGGTAGTACTCTACATAATATACACGAAGCGGTATATGACAAGTACTACATGGGCAGTATTTTATAGTAGGTAGTACACGAGAGTAGGAGGCTACATTAGGAAGCAGTATATTGTAGGTAGTACATAGAGAAGTAGTACATGGTAGGTATAGTACATAGAGAAGTACTACATCTTAGGTAGTAAATAGAGAATCGGTACATCTTAAGTAGTACATCTAACAACATGTGGTTTATACAGTATTTATGCGCTGAACACACACATACACACACACAATAATGGCATCTAGGAACATTAAGCGAAGCGTGTGTTGTAGTGGTGACATAGCAAGCAAACACATGTGACGTACGCCAAGCATCCGAGGTATTGGCTATGACCAATAGTAGTCACAGGTGTTTACTGCTTGCTCCTACTTGTAGCCTTCAACACTAATGGCTCCCTGGTGGTGATGGCGGCGCAGTCAGTACTGGCGTAACTTTCCTTGTACGTTCATAAACATGGCTGGTGCTTCGCTTACTATTACTACTATTGATGATAAAGATAGACATAGTAAGCGTAATAATATTAATATATGACAAATAATCCGAATAATAATAATAATAATGATAATAATAATACACACCGAGGATATAAAATATACTGTAATTCTGTACAATAATACAGTGGTTACATACTTATGTATAATGCTGGTACACATTACAGTGCATATATACGAGTACACACAAACACCTGTATCGTGAGTACAAGGAAAAATTGTAAATAGGTTAATCTTGTAGTGAGGTGGCTGGCTCCAGGCCATTGGTTACACACACACACACACACACACACACACACACACACACACACAGTACAGGGCGTCGCCAATTTCAGAGCGACCAAATGCAGCACCTCAACATCTTGTAGACAAAAACAATGGTGGTGACCCAGCGGATTAACCCAACACTCGAGGGTCTCCTGCGATAATTCTACGCAGTTCAACATTTTGTCGATTCTTGAAGTTGTAAAGTTGTTTTTTATGTCGCCTGACGCAAGCACCGCCACGTTATCAGGCTAGAAGGACAACACCAACTCTGTTCTGGTGTAGTTTGAATACAATTGTTTAATGAGGATAATGGATGTTAATAATTTGGATCACCTAAAGATTAACCCTTCAACTTATTTCATCTGCTGCTTGGGGGTTAAAGTTAGGTTAGGTTAATTTGAAAATTAAATATCAAAAGTACAATACCATTGAGGAAACAAAGTAGGGAGGTGGTGCACGGCCCTAGATAAGACAGTACCCTCAACAGTATCACTATATAAAGTACATATAAATAGATAAACATATGGGTGTAGGACTAAAACATTTACCCAGAGTGAACATAAACTAAAAGGTAAGAATGAAAGCTAAAGTTAGAACTGTTAAGGTTTTTTATAGTGTGCCTTAAAAATGTTTATTTTCTTTGAAAAGATAACCCATAGAAAATTACGGGTATGGTCTGTAAGGATGACGCCTCTAACTCGAGTCTTTTTGCCAAACTCCAGTTTTTCTAACTTAAGATGTTTGTATTTAATTACTGTTACAAAGTCAAGTGCATTACAATTAAACTTGCGAGAAAATTTATCCTCCAAGAAAGTAAACACCGTATGTTTTTAAATCCAAGCTTCGAATGGAACTCGGCACTTGCAATTCGACACAATGTTTGTGTTTTTAAAGCTTCACATGATTACACGTACCTAAGAAAGTGGTTACTCACAGGAAACCTCTGCTTACTTAAGGCTACCTGTAACAGTACCTCTGTTAACCTACAGTAGTTCCGTGTCTCCCGAAACTAACAGTAGTATGCCAGTATCCAGTTGCTAACAGGTCACGTAACCCTGTTTCATGATACTGTATATGCCTAGAGTTTGTTAGTGATGATGCAACTTACTGGAATTTGTAACGATTGATTAGTTGTATAATTTGGGGGATTATATAGTGTGCCATGACTTATGGAAGTAACTTTGGAGTTTAGCTTAAGGATATTTCTCGTCAGAAATGTTGTATGAGCAGGGTCCAATTGTCAGCGGTTAAGGAACTATGTGTTTTTAAAGTTAAAGAGAGACTCAAATAATTAAAATGTTTATTTGATAACTGCGACAGATGTATAGTTTAGTCTACAGTAGATATTCAAAGTGGCCGTCCGACAAAAAATGAACACGAGATCAACTACCTCGACGAATTATGGAAAATGCAGACGCATAATACAACGACCATGACGCTCTTGGTAGTGCTACTCCTCCAGTGTTTCCTCGAAGTTGAGTGTGTATCCAACATGTAGGCGGCTGTTTGACAGAGATAGATAAAGTACTAACATATATTGACTTAAGTAAAAGTACTGTTGTTATTTAAAATAGTTAAGTAAAAGAAGGGGTACTCCTTCATGGTTGACTTCTTTAATAAAAGTAAAAATTGCTATTATATACAGTACTTAGCAGTTAGTAAAAGTAAAAATTAAGTAATGATCGCATACAAACATACAGTGAAATCTTCATTTTCATTAAACCAATCATCTACGGCAGGAGTCCTCAACCTGTAGTCCGCGGCGCCCATATACAGTACAGTATATATATATATATATATATATATATATATATATATATATATATATATATATATATATATATATATATATATATATATATATGCAAGTAAATCACTGTAGGTGTGCGTGCTATATGTGTTGTGATTCACATCTTAGGGGATACTTGTACTCTCACCCCTTGTGTTATCAGCACTTGTTTAGCAGCAACTGATTTTCAAAGGTGTTATCTGAAAGATTTGCTCTTCTTGGTGTGAACAAGAACCCAGTGAGGAACTAAACCGCTTCATGTTGCAGAAGCAAGCAAATGTGTGTTTACCTTGATAGATGCCTTCAAGGAGGACCTTTTAAAACATTCATACTGGCTCGTGTGTTAGTCAGGTACCCGTCTTACTGTCTTAGTCCCATAGCTGGTGCAGATCTTGACAGATGGAAACAAATCTTCTTCCGACTCTTCCAAATAAGGCCACGGATATTTTCTTTTCTTTTTTTCAACATAGACATGGCCACAGCGGGGTGAAGCGTGCAGGGTCAGCACTAGATTGGAAATGGCTTCTGCTTGTTTCTGTTTCGTTCAGTTTGTGGTTGGTTTGCTAAAGAGCAGAAGTTCTCTTATCGGTCAATTCATGTAAACAAAAGCCATCACCATAGCAATCAGAAAATATTTATCCATTTATTTTTCAAGTGTGACGACATTCCTATGAAAGAAATATAGTTAAAAAAACAGAGGAAATTTCTATATTTGACAAGTAAAAGTAAAGAATAGAATATTTTTAAAGTACTTGAGTAAGCGTAAAGTATAAGAGGAGTTATTTGAGTACCGAAGTGAATTAATATGCCTCACCACTCCCCATCCCTGCCATTTGAACAATTATTGCAGACTAAACTCTTCATACTTATTCAATAAAGCATTTCAATTATGTACAAATCACTCTTTGCATATTTATAGAACATTATTTTTACTGTAAACGGCCTCAAAAATGAACTCCTGAGGTACTGTATTAAGACATGGCCACACCCTTGTACAGTATATGGAAATAAACTCGTCAGGAAATTGGGAGGATTAAACAAGCCGCCGTCATTCTTTTGTTTGCAGAAATAAATAAATCTCTATATTCAGGAATTTAAATCGGCATTTCATCTCTTAAGATTTATTCTTGGGAGAAGCTTTATTGAAACTCTTGAAGATGTATGTATAGAAAATCCATGTTCTATATTTGTAACTTTAGATTATTAGAAAGAGAGCCACTCGCCACGGCGCATCCATCTATCCATCATGGCTCTTACTCAAACATTAAGTGGGCGAGCAACACACTCAACTGTGGTAGCAAAAACACCATCGCACTAAAACTGATATCAGTACATTGTTTATGAAAAGCTGTTAAGCGGAATATCAATGTACTACTGGTGGTCTGCCTACACTATGATTTATACCACGAATTTAGGTCGGATGTGTAACAAACCATAGCAGTTCCTATAATCTCCACTCGTAGGGTTGATGGTGTCTTAACTAGGTTGGATGTGAGTAAGGCGCATGGACCTTACGGAATACCCCCTAGTGTTCTGAGGGAGTGTGAAGAAGCTCTGGCCCCTAGTCCTGTGCTTGCTCGCCTCTTTTGCCTTTGCCTCAAAACCCCAACTTTTCCTTCTTCTTGGAAGCATGCCTCAGTTCAGCCCATCCCGAAGAAGGGTGACCATTCTAATCCCTCTAACTATCGCCCCATTGCCCTAACTTCATCCCTCTCTAAGATTTTCGAAACTATCTTAGACTCTCATTTTCTCCGTCACCTTGAACTCCATTCTCTTTTGTCGGATCACCAGTATGGTTTTCGCCAGGCGAGATCTACTGGTGATCTGCTCTCCTATTGCACCCATCTTTGGTCATCCTCTCTTAGGGATTATGGGGAAACTTTCGTCGTGGCCCTCGACATCTCCAAAGCAGGTGACAGGGTATGGCACAAGTC